ATTCCAGACTATCATCATTCTTTTTGATGCCATTTTTCTTTCTGTGAACAGTCTGAGTCAAATAAATATTACCACTGGTTTGATTCACAGAAAAGAATGGAGAAGGTTTTAGAAGAGAATAATGAACAACTCCGTCCAGTCCACCATCACTGTCTGATGCTGTCACTCTGCCAAGTAACTGGCCTGCTTCGTTCTTCTCGGGGAGATTAAAAAAATAATGTTCTTGTGTAAACACTGGGTCAAATTCATCTCTCCCCTCAATATCTACCTGAACTGTAATGGTAGCCAATGAGTCACCTTTGTCTTTTGCTTGGATTATGAGGCAGTACCTATTCTGACTTTCATAGTCAAACATTTGCTTTGTATGAATATCTCCTGTCAAAGGATCAATAAAGAACATGTCATGGTCTCTAGGAGCTTCACGATGAGCCAAACATGAAGACTGAATGGAGTAGGTAATGTGCCCATAGGAGCCTTTATCAAAATCCAGTGCACAAACAGCGCACACAAAAGAAAATGTAGGCATATTTTCACTGACAATGCAGCTCAGACTGGCAAACAAAAAAAGTGGGGCATAATCATTGTCATCTAGGACACTCACAAAAACAACAGCAAAAGCCACATTTTTTATATCAGTTCCTCTATCTGTGGCTTGGATGATCAAAGTGAATTTCATGGTATCCTCATAATCCAGCGTTTTCATCAAATCCATTGATCCTGTTTTCTCATCCAAGCGAAAATGTCCCCTGTCGTCTCCAGAGATGATAGCATAAGTGATCTCTGCGTTAGTGCCTGCATCAGAGTCATTTGCTGAAACTTTGGTGACATGACTACCTATAGGGATGCTTTCTTTGACATGAACATGGTATTCTGGGCTGCTAAATACTGGAGCATTATCATTAACATCCAGCACAGTTATTAGTACAGTAGCAGTTGAATTCAAGGAGGGTGTTCCACAGTCAGAGGCAAGGAGGACCAAATGGTGAGAAGAAGCTGTTTCCCTGTTAAGAACATTGCTCAAAACCAGACTGCCAACAAGTTTGTAGGATGTTTCTGACCCCATGATACTTGTTTCTATGGAGAATAAATTCTCAGCATTGCCTTCAATAATAGAGTATTCAACATATGTGTTTTCATGGGTCCAATCATAGTCAATGGTTGAAAACATGAGGATGCTTTCTCCAACTGAGGCATCCTCACTCACGCTGAGATTGTACAGAACCTTTGTGAACTGAGGGGCATAGTTATTTACGTCTTCTATGTGTACCTCTATAGAAGTAACTGCAGTGAGAGTGGTACTGCCACCATCCACGGCTTCTATCAGAAGATGAATAGTGGAAATATTTTTCAGCTTTGTCACTGGTCCTGTAGCAAACACTGAACCTGAAAATACAAAAGAATTAACAAAAGGCCACACTCCACAGGCAAGTAAATGTGATTCCAAAAGCTGAATCTAAACAGTCATATTCGAAGACGACTCACCCATAATGGCTCACAAACCATAGTAAATCTCTTGCATCCAGAGAGTAGTGGGTCAACAGCTCAATGGATGGACACTGATGGACATCACTTACTAGTGGTGTCCCTCAGAGGTCTGTACTGCTACCAGTACAGTTTAATAGCTTCATCAGTGACACAGACAATGGGATTGAGTGCAGCCTCAGCAAGTGTGCATATGACACCAAACTGAGTGGTGCAGCTGACGTGCCTGAGGGATGGGATACTATCCAGAGGGAACGTGGACAAGCTCAAGAAGTGGGGCCTCATGAAGTTCAACAAGGCTCAGTGGAAGGTCCTGCACATGAGTTGGGGCAACCTTTAATACCAATTCAGGCTGGGAGATTAAGGGATTCAGAACAGCCCTGTGGAGAAGGACTTGGGGATACTGGTGCACAAAAAACTGGACATGAACTTGTAATGTGTGCTCACAGCTCAGAAGGCCAACTGCATCCTGGGCTGTATTAAATAAAGTGTGGCCAGCAGGTTGAGGGAGGTGATTCAGTCCCTCTACTTTGCTCTTGCTGGAGCCCACCTGGAGTACTGTGTCCAGCTCTGGACTTTTCAGCACAGTAAAGACACAGACTTATTGGAACGAATCCAGAAGAGGGCCATAGAAATGATCAGAGGGCTGGAGCCCCTCTCCTGTGATAAAAAGCTGATAGCTGGGATTTTTCAGCCCAGAGAAGGGTACAGGGAGACCTCACAGTGGCCCTAAAGGAGGCTTATAAGAAGGATGGGACAGACAGGTTGTTGTGATAGGACAAGGGGTAATGGTTTTACACTAAAAGAGGGTAAAGCCAGAGTAGATATAAGGAATTTTTTTTTTTTATGAGGGTGGTGAAACACTGGAACACATTTCCCAGAAAGGTGGTAGATATCCCATCCCTGGAAAAATTCAAGGTCAGATTGGACATGACTCTGAGCAACCTGATCTAGTTGAAGATGCCCCTTCTCATTGCAAGGGGTTGGACTTGATGACCTTTAAAGATCACTTCCAAACAATTTTGTGATTCTAAGAACTCATAGCTAACACTGTGAAGCCAAGGCCTCCCCACAACAATAAAGTATCAAATACCCATACTGCATCTAGAGCAGCAAAAATATGCATGGTTTTGGGACAAACTGAGAACTCCAGTCTTTGATGCATTCAGTTCTTCACTGATAATGGCAGATTTAGCCAAAACATATGCATGGACTTTGGCCACCAAAAATTTCCAGAACTCAACTAATCGCTGGTAACAGGTGAGGAAGCAATAGGACTCTTCAATTTACACTAAAAAAGCTGAAATAATAAGCCATGCTTACAGACTCACCATTCTTGTGATCAATGGAAAATCCCTCAGAAGAAGAGAGGATTTTGTAGGAAATAATTCCATTATGCCCAGAATCTCTATCTGTTGCAGAGACTGTCAGAACAGCGGCATCCATGGAAATGAGCTCTGGCAAGTTCACCTGACATATAAAGCAAAAATAGAGCTTAATAAAATATTTGAAACACAAAAAATATACATTTGCCTTTATTTGATCTTACTAGAAAGAAGCACACAAAGTTCCCAGCTTTGGAAAAAGTTTTACTTACCCATTTTCTTCTGGGGCAAAACTGTAAAGAGCTGAGATATTGAAAACTATGCCTTCAATACAGCCAAAATTCACAGTACACTTTAAGCAGTAGTAAAATCCATCTAGCTCATTATGACAGTGAGTTCAGAGAATAAATAAATCACTCTTTTCAAAATTACATTAATGGACTGCAACTAATAGCTTTTCTTCTTGCTTTCAAAAACATCTTCATTTCTATACATGGAATACAGTCTGCAGTCTCTGTCTGGAATATATGCTTAACCACTAAAAAAACACCAATACATGCACCCTGAAAATTCCAGCACTAGAGCACTGGATTATTCCTAGAATTTAGTATTTCAAAATTCTCCCTTTTTTTCTCTAGGAAACCAAGAAAGTCTGTTCCCTTTTTAACAACTTTCATTATTTGAAGTCCAGATACAGTACTTTGGTGACCAAAGTTTCCTTCCACCGTATAAATCTAACTTCAAATGAACAGCATGATAATAGCAGCTACCTCTGTCATAACTTGAAGTGTTAGTTTAAATAATTTAAACAGAGAGATTATATGTATATAATAACCATACGTATACATTAAACTATATATAAGGAGTATAAATATGAAAGGACAACAAAAGGGTAAAAATACAGGATGATGAATAGGGAATTATACATATCATTGACCAAAAAGCAGCACTGTATCTTGCTCTCCAAGCAACACATCCAAACATAAGGATTGTGGAAAAGAGAAGCTCAGCTGTTTATGTTAACATGGTCAATAGAGCTACACTGTTTTGCATCAGTTAATAATGCTGCCTATAATGTCTGCTCTGATCTACAAAAAAATTCCTAGCACTTGCAGAAGAAAGTACTTGCCTAAACTATTATCCAAAATCAGACACATAGGAGGGTTGAAGAAAATTAAGGTCTAAAAATCACTTGAGCATTAATAGTGCATTTTTTTCCACAATGTAGATTTATGAGTACAAGTGGGAATTTTACACAAATCCTGACAACTCAGGCACCTGAAAGTTTTACAGGTATCTAAGTGACTAAATCACTGTGCCTGCACTTGCTCATAGATTGAAAATTCTTTACTAAGCCAAATGTTTAGACTTATTTCTTGAATAAATCTGTCTGATATTTATAAATGAAGCATTATTCAATCCAAGTCTTCTGTTGTGCCTCATATTTTTGGCTCTGAGGATGTCCACCACACACAAAACGGACCAGATCAAACAAACAGCTCAGTTCACAGGATTGCAGAATGGCTGAGGCTGATGGGCACCTCCAGAGGTCATCCTGTGCAACCCTTGCTCAGAGCAGGGTCACCCACAGCAGGGTGCCCAAGACTGTGTGCAGATGTGTTTTGAATATCTCCAGAGACAAAGATTTTACAATCAATCTGAACAACCTGTGCCAACACTTAGTCACTGCTAGAGGTTTAAAAATTTAAAAAAAAAAAAAAAAAAGTGTTTCCTGATGTTTAAATAGAATTTCCTGTACTTTGATTTGTGCCCACTGCTTCTTGTCCTGTCACTGGACACCACAGAGTGGAGTGTGGCTTCCCAATCTGGCTTGCCCATCTTTACTCCTCCCCACTATTATTTACACAAATTGGTAAGACTGAGCTGTCTCTTCTGCAGGCTGAACTATCCATGCTCTAGGCTCTCCTGGGCCTCAGCCCAAGCTGCACAGGCCTAGTCCCACACCAACAAGTCCTAAGGAAACAACTGCTCTGGCACCCAATTTCTCCTATGGCAGTTTTAATGCAGCCGACCTTAACCTGAAGCTCCATGCTTTGTCTCTCTCCCATTCCATGCCCTAACTCCAAGCTGTTACCTGTGCTGAGCCTTAGACCACGCCCCACAGTCCTACGGCTGATGAAGTCAGGGCAAAACCCTTTTAGCAGCCTGCTCTTGAGAGTCTTGTGTGATATCACGCTCACTTTGGCAGCACATATAGTAAAACTGCAATGATACAGAGAAGCTAGCATGACCCCTGTGCAAGGATGACACACAAATTTGTGAAGCATTCCATACTGTTTTAGGGATCTGGAGTGCTGGTTGGCAACAGGCTCAATGTGTGTCAAGAGTGTGCCCTGGCTGCAGAGGCTGGGTTGCATCAGGCATAGCATCAACAGTCAGTCAACAGAGGTGAATATCTCATTGCATTCAGCCTTGGGGTGGCCTCACCCTGAGTGCTGTAGGCAGTTCTGGGCCCCACCCTTTTAAGAAGGTAGTGAAAGGGCTGGAAGGCATGTCCGATGAGGAGTGTCTAAGAACTCTGGGCTTGTCTCATATGGAGAAAAGGAGGCTTAGAGGTGACCCCATTGCTCTCTGCAGCTTCCTGAAGAGAAGAAGTGGAGAAGGAGGTGCTGAGCTCTTCTCCCTGATAACCCAGTGACAGGACACGTAGGAATGGCTCAGTAGCTGTGCTAGGAGAAGTTCAGACTGGACGTTCAGAAGCACTTCTTTATCAAGAGGGTGGTCAAACACCAGAAAAGTCTTCCTTGAGAGATGGTCAATGTTCCAAGCCTGTCAGTGTTAAAGAGCCATTTGGAAAATTCCCTTAAAAACATGCTCTAGCTTTTGGTCTGCCCCTGAATTGGTCAGGCAGTTGGACTGGATGATTTTTAAAGGTCCCTTCCATCCTAAATTATTCTATAACTCCATGACCCTGAGATTAGCTCAGTTGGCTAGAACATGGTCTAGTAACACCAAGGTTGTGGGTTCAATCCCCATACAGGCCACATATTTAAGAGTTGAACTCGATGATCCTTGTGAGTCCCTTCCTACTCAGTATTTTGTGAAATCTGTGACTCTGTTTTATATATGCTCTAATTTCTTAAATCATCTCAGTGGCCCATAGCTGTCCATAGTCACTAAAACTGCTTTGTTTCACTGTTAGACAATTTGATTTCTACAACAGTATAGCAGTTCAAATGCTTGTCCAAAAGTCCAAAAGCTGAGCTCTGCACCCTCCTCAGTCCAGTAGGGGAAACTGGGGAAGTCAAAACTCCTATGCCTCACTCCCAAGATGAGCGCCACTACTGTAAGGCAGGGTTACACATTACAAACTATAGGTGCATGAACTACCATAGGGGCACTTGCTACACGTCTGCGGAGCTATGTAACTGAAAACGAAGAAATTCATGCCATAGTAACAGGGCCAGAATAAATGTATCAACTTCTTCACCATTCTCTCAGAAGAAGGAAGTTCTGAACACTGAACCCTGCTCCCCACTGGTTTGGATAATATCCTGTAACTCCTAGTGATGAATGCATGGTGTATGGAATACAGCTAGCATTCCCATCACTTGCCTTCTGAAGTCAGAAACCACAAACATTAAAACAGAACAATTCCCTCAGTTCTTTTAGCAGAATTCTTAGGAAGAGGCTGGGGTTTCCCAGAAGAGCTCTGCTCTGTTTCTGCCCAGAAATAGTTTGCAGAGACCTTTCTTCTCAGTGCTCAAATGCATTTTTAAGACAAATACAGACAAGTACTCTTACTATTTATCATCACATATGGAAAGATATCTATCACGTGTTTGTTGCCCATTTGCCGTGTTCTCACCTGATATGAATCCTGAGTAAACACTGGTGGGTTATCATTGATGTCCAAAACAAGGATAGTGAGTTCTGCTTCTGTCTGATGCACAGAATCTGAAACTATGATTTTCAGCTTATAAACGGCAGTTTCTTCAAAATCTAATGGTTCCACTACTGTGACTACACCAGTGTGTTGATCGATGGCAAATTTCATTCCAGGACCATTATCATAAATAAAACCAAACTGAAGTTCTGGCCTGGAGTCTGCATCACTTGCTGACACCCGAGTCACTATAAAACCAGGCTGGGCATCTGAAACAATAATTTTGAGAATAAGTCATAGCTAAAAGATGATGTTACAATTTCTGAGGATTTTGCCTATTTTGTAATATTGAATCTTTGATATATGTAAACTTTCAGTATAGCTTTTGATGTATTTTAACTTTGTGTTTTACAATAAGCACAATACCCAGAAACACTATGGAAATAGTAGTGGATTTCTTCAAAGGTATGTGCTGTATCCCAGTTTTAATTTGGGTTTTCTCTAGACTTTCTCAGATCCGGTGTAGTCATAACTGTTTCTTTGCTACCAACAGGAACTTACGTGGTTTTCCACGAGCATTTAGGTGACATGAATTTATTGAACAATGTCACAAACCTCCACAAGAATATTTAACTGAGGCATCAGAGACCCCTGGTCTGTGTAGAACCAGCAAATGCAATTCTGAAGCTTTTCCAAAGGAGGAGGCCACTAGAGAGAAAGGAGACCTCCAGACAGACCTACATGGCACAAAAATATTAAGGTCTATCAAGGTATAACCCTATGAGCTCGAGAAACTTGATACAGACAGCTTTGCCATGGGTTAAATTGACAGTACCGGTAACTGTAAACTGAACCTATTAGTGATCATTTAACAAAGCCTGGAACTAACAGAAGCTAAACCATTTCCCATCTGCATGCCTGTGGCATGAGGCCTCAAAAATACTGTATCATATCCTAAACCAACTGTTCTTAAATGGCATACAAAAAGCTAAGTAACTACTATTTACAGCTGTTGTGCAGCCATGAATTCTGTACTTGTCATTACCAGTGGGAGCTAAATTTAGGAAAGGCTAAAACATATCACTAGAAAGACAGCCTTGATATCTTTTCTTCACAAGAGTATTGAGGTTTCAACACCTAAATATTTATAAATTTTCCGTTGTGTATCTTAACACATTCACATATATGATGCCTGTATTTGAAAGTTACAGGCTTAAGACTCAAGATCTGCAAATGTTGAGCTAACATCACACAACATACCAGATGTATGCTGGGATGAGAACTTGGGAGGTCCTGGGTCCTCCTATTTATGATCATCAACTGGATCAAGTTATAGAGCATTTTAACACTTCATTCAAATTTACAGAAATTATTTCTTTCATCACAATGAAATTCAAAATGTCTCATTTCTAGCAATGCTAGTTTTACCACCAAGCATTTTTATTGGAAAAAAGTGGAAATTGAAGACATATGAAGGATATGATACTGGAGTTCAAAATGAACAGATTACAGTTGTATTTCTGCAGATTTTTTTCTCTTTCTGAATTGCCTATGGTTTTGTTCCAAACTATTCCTAAACACAATGTCTAAAGATTAAGAATAATGTCTCTGAGAACAAAAGCATACCACAATTAATTTTGATATTTCAGCTTTAATACTATCCATTACCCTTTTTACTACAGTTGTTTAGTTACACCAAACACCAAAAGCACTACTGTTATCTCACAATTCCCAGTCTTAACAAAACTTAGCTGTACTATCACACTTACTTTCTGGGACCTCCACTTCACCTAGCAGTTGAACAACTGGAGCGTTGTCATTAACATCTAACACCTCTATCCTCACAATACTTGTAGCAGAGAGTCTGGGGTTTCCTTTATCAGCAGCTTGTACAACCAACCTACAATTAAAGGAAGCAGTAATTGTCACTTTTGGTCAGAAATCACTGAATTATCCACCAATGTTATAAGCAGGAGAAATTTTAAACCCAAAAAGATTAGCCATTTCCGTTCCTCATGGCAACTCTGAAATTCCATCTTTCTTTCTGTAAGGTTGACTGTCCAGAGTTTTTTTTTTCATCTTTGAGCAAAAATGTCCAGGAGATTCTACAGGGAAAAAATATATTAAAATCACACAAAGAAAAGGAAGTGTTTTTCTGTATTCATTTCATCCAGTTACATACCAAATGCAGGTGGTTAAACAACTCTTTTAAATAAGACACAGTTTTTCAGTTGGTAATTCAGAGCAGGAATTAAAATGTAAGCACTAAATTATCCTTTGGAGGAACCTATCTCTCTTCATTGTTTATAAAGAGACAACAGGGATGTGAAAATGAGGTAATACAAAAACATCCAAACTAACATTTAGCCAAAATGCCTGCAGACACATTGAATAGCCCCTCCATTAACGCTATAAATGTAAGTGATGAAATGAAAACCCTGAATACATGCACCATTTGACAATGGTAAGGTTCCTGCTGATTTTAGCAGGACCAGAATCTCACTGCCAGATTAGAAGAGTTGGCCTGTACACTTCCATATTACACCTGCATAAGGAAGGGTAGTAAAGATCAGACAAAAAAAGAAGCTATGTGAAGGGATATACAAGTCAAAGCTGGGCATCTCAAGTAATGTTTTATGCAATAACAATTGTTTACATGTCACACCATATTGCCTGGGTCTCCCTGAAGATCTTCTGAACGCGTTATTTCTCCTTCTTTCTTCTAAGTCACAGTTTCTGTTTAAAGTGTCAAATAGATGTTACTTCCTAAACGTTCACATGATAACATGGAATACCAAGGTTGTAACTCAAGCTGTGGATTGCAGCACTTCCATTCCTGAACCACACCAGCTCTGCTCTGGGTGTCCTTGTGGTTTTTGACACTGACAGAAGACATAACTTGAATTGCAGACCAGTATTCAATCAGTGACCATGCAAAATTCCATACAGAAAGTGTATCTTTTCTAGAATGAATATTGTTAAGGTATACATATGGAAATATTTTACTAAAAATAATCACTTTCTAAGGTTTCAGGAAAAAAACCTCTCATAAAAACATCTTAGCCAAGGCATTAAAATTCTGTCAACACTTCCATTATAAGTCCTATTATAAGGGACTTAGAACTTCTGGGGGTGAAAATGTTCAATTTAGATAAATAAACAACTCCTTGCAAATTTGAGAGAACTGATGGTAACATTTTGAAATCAAACAGGAAAACAGTTTTGAAAGCTTCTTTTGCTATTCACTTTTCACCTAACAATGTGATTAATACAGATTAATAAAAATGTGATTAACACAGATTAATAACTAATTATAAAAAGAAAGAATATGAAGCTTCATATTCCTTGAATATACTGTCAGTTTGAAAGGCTAGAATTCCAACATAAATGCTGAAATAAATCAGGTTGCCAGTTAAAGACGGATATAAGAATTATTATGCTCATATGCTAAA